CAATTTAGAAACAAACTTTATCAATACCCCTAATAACTATCCGTTAATTATATTTCAGGTTTTAGGCTAAATTATTTCTCGATGAATTGTATGAAAAAATTTATTAACGTCAATGTTTTATTGTAGTCAAACTGATAAACTCACAATTTTCCTCGAAATAATTACGGCTACCCGATGTTTGCTCCTGACTTTTGTTTTGGTTATACCCTAATCTGGTACCCAAACCTAATCAAAGTCCCAGCTGTTTGACCCTTGTTAACCCCTTAACTAGGTCCACTAGCCTTGACTATGGACGGGTTGCCTACCCACCCCTTGGACCAAATAGATCAAATCAGAGTGCATTCCCATGATTCATTGCCTTATCCAAGGTCATTTAGTCTTTCCAAACTCCTGACTCACCCTTTGTTATCTACCCTCTTTCCTTTCCTTCCCAATTTGTCCCCGCCTATGATTGAAACAATTTTCTCGTAGTTTATCTTCAAACTACTGCGTGGATATGTCTATCTTCGTTTCTTTAATTATATCATTTAATTGACGTACAAAACAATTTATTTGAAAAAAATACTAAGCCTCAATATTTTTTTATAATTTATTATAATGTGATAATAATCATGAATGCGCACTTATATCTGAGAATCCATAAGAGTAACTTTTTTGTATCATATTTTGTAGCATTGTTTTGTTCGTGCTTTTGAAAAGTGGAAAAAAATCTATTTACTCTACGTAATTGTATTTCATTGGTTGTTTTTTGCATCATAGTACAACATAATGTGAGTGAAAATTGAAATTCATCTGTAAACTTAAAACTTATGCTTCCAATGGTGAAATTTTAATTTTTTAAACAAATTTCACTCTTTTACAAGATATATTTTAGTCAAGCTTGTACGTTTTAAGTATCAGAATTTAAAGCTTAATCGTGTTATTATATTTATTTATTCTCTTTTTACTGATCACACTATTAAAGTACAAGAAACAATGATAATAGTAAGTAGGCTAAAATGTGTTTGAAAAAATTAAATAATATTAAATGTAAGTAGGTATACAACGTACGACAACGAGCAGTCTGATAGACATAACAGCTCAATGTCAAACAAGTTTTATGGTGACTACATATTAAATAAAATAACCAAACGCAAATACTAAATCTATTAGCAGTGCAATTAACGTTAAGTTAACGTGCGTGTTTAACTTCCCTCCTCCCCCACAGCAGGAAGCAGTGTGTTTAAATGCCCTCCAAATCTCAAATTGCTAGAGGGAAAAAATTAAGATATTACATAAAACAAGGTATCCTACAAAAGAAATCTACATCCCTTAGGCTTGATTTCGCCTCGAAGAAGAGCAATGATTCTGTACACTAAACATTGAAAACAACTTACCAAATTAAAGTGTTTAAAACACTGTAGAGTTCTGAACAAAATAAAATATAGCAACACAAGGGAGAGTGTCCTATTACCGAAATTAGTGCAAGGGAGTTCACCCTAAACAATCACTACAAACCTTCCTACTCGCCCCACCAGGGTCAGGGCTGACTACTAACTACCAAGATAACAATCGTATCCTGTTTATTGTGGCTCACTAGACAATTTTGAAATAACTATTAACAAATTTTAGACGTCTTTACACAAACTATGTAGTAACGTAACTTTCACATAAGAATGTTTTTATCCCGATGAAAGTGTATTCCTATATAAAGCTTTGATTATTTTATGAATACAGGGTTTACTGTTAAAATAATGTATTGATAGCTGTTGTTTTAAGAAATTAAATACCATCATAGATTTGATTTTTTATGTATTATTAATTAGCCAAATATAAATTTAAAGTATATTTCGATGTTTGCTGTTCATTATGATGTGCCAACGTTGATATTGTTCGACCACAAAATCCAATTTATTGGTAATTATTGCTTTTCCGCGAATATATACCATACCTTTCCTACCGGGAAATTATCCGAAAGATACAGAACTCTTTTACATGGTTAAGGCTTGTAAAAACAAAACAAACCACAAACCATAGTGAGCTCGTAAACACCAACGTGAGTTAAAACAAAACGTTCATTTTGAAAATAAATTTTTCTATGATCGGGATGGGGGGGCTATTGTGATTTTATGTTAAAATTTGTATCATCAATATATTTGTAAAATAGACTTTTTACGGTGTTAGCAATTCACCTTTAAAAATTCAATCGCCATCATTGATTGCCCTCTAGCCTTAACAAACATTAAACATGATCAAAATGTGCTGTTCTGCAGACTTTTGCAGACTGGGTAAATTGCAGATATTATACATATTAGGATGAGAAATCTACTTGCAGAATTCAATGTATTTTTACAGTATAGGAAGTTTTATTTTAAAACGATAAGGTGTTTAAAAGGTAAATTAATATCCATTGATATATTTTCCATGTATTTTCAATACTTTTAAATGGTTTTAATCAATGGTGTTTGGCTGAAGATTCACAGTCGTCAGTAGGTGGCAAGATAAATTATTTACCGAAAAATAATTTTTAGTCTAACTTGAGTGTTTACCACTTTAAAGACCATCAGTGGTTGTTAGCATTTACATAAAAAACATTTAAATTATTATGGTACTGTATTTCTGATTTTCATTAACCTTAAGTAACAGGAAATTCACTTATTTTGCATTGCTACAAGGGAAACGCTATACTAACACTAATAATCGTCTCCCTCCAAAACCTCGCAACCTCCCTCGCAAATGAAATCCCGCCACCCCGCTTGATGATGAGTCTTGCCCTCTCATTGGACAATTGGATTAATGTATCAATACTTGTCTGCTCTCTACAATAACAATGAGGTCTGAGAAACAGTCTTTGTAGCTTTGTGCAGTAGCCAATAAGATTACTTAATCTGAAAGCTTAAAGGCTGAGTGAAAATGGGGCTCCTCCGTATATCTTAAGGTACCTGGTTCGATTTTGGGGGGAAATATGTAATGTTAACAAAGTATTTTATAACATGGTAACTGGATTTAGGTAAACAGAGTATTGTATTTATATATAGTTTAGAAAGTACTTTTAAAAACTATGAGGCCTTAAAGGGAAGGGAAGGTATTGAATGTAGAATCAAGAATTGTAAGAAATGAGATGTTCCGAATATTTTGGAGGAATTGTATGTTTATAAATAAACACAAAAAAGCAAAGTTTACTTTTGGAAATACTTTCAGAAACCTAGTAGGCTGTTGGTGGGTTGCTAGCCTAGTGGGTTAGCGTCTCATACTGAGCTGCAAGAGGCACGGTGGATTGCCGATATATTTTTAACACATTTGAAGAATTTTGACCAGGTTGAGTTTGCAATACTTTCGTTGAAAATACTGTACAAATAAATGGCAATTCTGGACCATTTGACCTGGCAGTCAATAGAATATTAGAAGGTGTACGGTTCAATTAATGTATTTTGCCAATAAGGAACGGCAATGATAGAAGTCCATTAAAAATCCCTTAGCATTCAACATTTTGTGTGGTTATTTTATTGTTGATATATCTTTACAAATTGAATAGGACATTTTTAATTTGCATCCTATAATAATAATGATAGCACTATTAAAAAATTGTGAATTATTTAACCAGTAACGAATTGTAAGATGTGATAAGAGAGGGTTTAAAATTGCTTTCAAATTCACCAGAAATGTACGACTTAAAACTAAACCAAGTACTAAACTAGAAGTCAGACTTCCACTTGCATATGTAATATACTAATAACTGCGTTCTGCAGTTATAAAAATATCTATACATCGAGGAATAAAATAAAGATAATGTGATTGACTGTATTAGGTAGTAAAATAAAACATAACATTACCTATAATTTCCACTGATACGTACTGTTTCGAAACAGATACGCTTAACATATAATAATATACAAAGTTGTACTGGATAAATAAATAACAGGCTAAAATATTCACGTGTTTAAAATAATATTTATCATATTCATAGCCAGCTTTGAACGCTAAAACATTTTTACATTTCTATTAACTCACATGCTTCGTCTTCCATTAGCTCTCTTTGTAGCTTCACGCGGTTCTTCACTAAAGATAATTACTACATCAAAGCTTTACTGGCAATGTATTTCAACAAGCTTTAAATATAAACCATCGTCGGTGCTGTTTAGTCAAGTTTTGATTTCAAATGCTATGTTAAAGGTAGTTTTTGTGCATTGGCTTTTACTCTATAAACGTTATCGCAATACCTTTGTCAAATCATAACGAATAAATTACAAAGGATAGCAAGAGTTGAAATTGTTAGCACTGAGAGTCTTTGATACGGGGTTTTTTCTGGCATTTTCATTGTTAGACTAAAAGACGATCTCTGGTATCTCTAACTAACTTTTGAAATGAAACACGCCTTATAAAAAAAATCATACGCAAAATATGCGAGCAAATAATAATATCTTGAATAAAAGTCAAAATCAATGTTTAGGACTAGTTAAGACTATTTTGTACAATGTTTACTCAAAAATTATTTTGAATTAATACTTGATTTTGGATTTTTTTAAATCAAAACTTTTAGGTAAATTACTTATTGGCTCTGAATGTTTATTAAATAGTCAATAAAGTTATCATATATCAAAAAGATAGCAAATATGGCTATATTTTATTTGATAGCTTAAGGTTGTTTTACGTTCACCCGATTTTGTCATATATGACAAAGAGATGGTTTCAACAGTCATTTATGTAAAACATTTTTGAGTGTCAAAAAGTTTGGATCCCTCAAAACTGTTTGGATATGCTAAGAAAAAACCCTGGGCAGTACTCTCTCATCAAAGTACAAGACATTAAAATCAGGTATCAATTTTCGCTTATGTCCTGTAAACTATGTCATACTGCTTAAGGTATAGGTCGTATCGAAGCACAATAGCCTTTATTCACTGTATGGGAAACATATCAAAAACTACAATAAAGATATTACTGACATATATTTTGAATTATTCTCCGTCTAAAGCAATGAACTTACTTACTTACTTCTTACTTCTTGGTACGTGCATCCAGCTTCAGGTAATGCCGACCGCACGGTGTCTCTCATATACAAGGTTGGCCAGTCTCCAGTAGGTGGGATCAGTTAGGATTCGTCCAAGAGTACAGTCAGGTTGGAGTCTCTTCCTCAGCTCATCTCTGATATCCAACTTGCGAGTGCAATGAAGGAGGATGTGTTGCAACGTTTCTTCTTCCGTTTGACATACCAGACACAGGGGTGACTCAGCGAGTTGGAAGCGAAAGAGATATGATTGGGTTACAATATGCCCTGTTCTAGCTCTTGAGGCAAATGTTGACACAGATCTTGGCAAGTTTTTGTAAATGTCTGTATTGTTGGGTTCCTTGAGCAGGTCATACAGATGGCGACCAGTTGGTTCATCTTTCCACTTCTCTACCCATTTTTGCGTTAAGAGTCTTTGAGATGCGGCTATGCAGCTGGTAAGTGTTAGTTCCTTAGATGGTATAGGGTGCATGTTGGTGGCTGCCTTCGCAATCCTATCAGCTTTCTCATTTCCTTGCAGTCCGCAATGACCTGGTATCCATTGGAAACAAATCTCCTTGTCTGTGGACAAATTCAGGAGATGAAAGATTTCTTGAATTCTGTGGTAGTAGCTTGAGGGTTTATATTGCTTGAGTAGTTGCAATGCACTTTTAGAGTCGCTGAGTATGCAAATCTTTTGGCTTTCAATAACCATGCAGTGGGCAACCGCTGCGTTGATGGCAAGGAGCTCTGTGTCAGTGCTGGAACATGAATTCGCCGGAACAAAGAAGGACTCGTTGGAACGTTCCGCAAAGTAACCGGCTCCAGATTTGGATTCTGCAGGGTCTAATGATCCATCAGTGTAGATCTTATAATAATCTTCGTAGTTTGACTGGATGATCTCGAGGGCAGCAGCTTTTTGTATTTCTATTTCTATTTCTATTTCTATTTCTAAAGCAATGAAGAAACATCGCATTTTACAGCTACAATGCAGGTGCAAATAATTTGATTTAATTTAAGTCCTGAGCTAATTAAATCTCAGGGAACTAAATATTCCCAAAGGGATTCCATCGAACCAATCACGGGGGTTTAATAGCATAGCGTAGAAGCTAATGATGCTTCAACTTCTGCTTTGTGAGTGAAACATATTTTAAAGGAATACTAATATTCAAGATGGTCCTTTAAGAATTCAAAATACGTTTTTACCCCTATATGCAGCTTGAGGTGTACAAAAAGACCGTTAAAATTGCAATTTTAATATAAAACCTTAACAATTAGTATTATTTTATATGCTTATGTAGATAATTGCACTTTGGAGTTTTTGCTTGAGTAGCGGTTAGTGCGTAAGCTTTCTTTGAGGTTCTGTAGTATTGATAATGATGACTTTATCTAGTAATAATGAGAGGTATATCAGGTTAGGATCACTTTCTCTTTATAGAAGAGACCCCTCAACTCAAATCTATACAATAATTAGGAATTTGTTATCAGTTCAATTAAATCAAGGCTATTTAGATTGTAAATTAGGTTGTCAATACTATTAAGTAGACAACATTAATTGTTTAAACACTGTTACAGTTGTAACGCTCAACCAATACAGGGTTCATAACAATGTAATGCATTCATCCAATTAGGGACATTAAGACGACATGACTCCTGACTTAATCATACACTTGAGATTGGATTGCATTAATATGTAACATCAACCCTTTAATTGAAACTGTTTATACTACATGATGTCAGTCTTGGATGATCCTTACATACATGCTGACGTATATTGTAAAAATATAGATGGATCAATAACTGGACCTTGATCATTTAGGCTAAAAGATTTTTCTACTGGAAGATAGTTGCTGTTAGCACATTAATGACTATTTTTTGAAGAAGATTTCTCATTTACATCACTCACTTAGGTTTGAACAAATGGAGAGGGTTTGAAAGAAAAAAATGTTTGTAAATTTTAAATTTTAAACTTTTATCTATAAAATTTATAACTTTTTAAACATTTTACTGCAGTAATAATCATATTTAAACGTCCTGCATTTTATTACAAGACAGCTACTTACACTTAACGTCTATGGTAAATTGTTTTGGAATTATTACAAAAGTTACTTCTATGACAATAAATTTAAAATATTCTTATCAACTGTAAGATTTATGATTGAATGTTATGTAAATTTGATAATATGATTACGTAAATTATTAATTATTATTATGCTAAATTGAAAAATGAATGTGTTTTTTAAAGCTCTATATTCTCTGTAAGCTCTGTTTCTCACGATTTTCTTGAACTGAGTTTGGGAGACTTAATTTAAAACGTCATAAATAAATAGTGAATTGACGACCACAAAAGTGTCAACATTTCTATTACAGTCGTTGGTGTTCATACTACAGTTTATGGAACAATATTTTTCTATTGATTTACGAGTTTTACATGTGTTTTACGGAAGTTTAAATATACTTATAGTTGTTAATGTATTATTTTATAGGATTTGAGACATGGTTGGTAATATTCGTAAATGAAAGACCAAATATTCACTAATTACGATCTTCTAAAATATCTAAATTGCAATCCTGGTTTGCAATTTAGTTTGAGTGCACTGGAAAGGATTAGTCGAATGGTAAACACCGGCTGTAATGAAACTACCGCAAGCTTCAATAATACAGCGAATGTGCAATGAAGTGGCAGGATGGTGTGCTTCATATACAGTAATCTGATTGACTCACGGCTGACATGTTGGCTTGCCAACTGTGATTTGATGTGATTCGTCATTTGATCCATCCGATACTGAAATTAACATCGGCTGATCAATCCTCAATTCGAAATATTTACAGAAACTGAATACATATGTACTCTTACTACTGTAAACAGTATACTCCACCAATACGTATTTTTGTCACACTTCTTCTAAACCCCTAAAATGAAAAAAAAGTTAAATATTAAAATGTTGTTATGTGGATATACCAAGGATCAAACCCGCCCTTCCTGCACTAAAGATCTTAACCAACCACTAGGCATATCCAACTTGACTTCTACCTTAAACCTCTATGTTATGATTCTCAGTTTTAGAACAAGAAATATCTTGGTTGAAATACCACCGATAGGGTGTGCCGTGGGAAAAGCATTGTCTTTTTTTTAAATAATTTTAATGTAAAAGAGTGATAATTTTGTAAATAGGTAACAATTACTCTCACAGGACATTTAAATTCATTTCATGTTGGCAATGGTTTAAATTCAAATCTATATTGCTTAGCTCGTTAAAAAGGATAATTTGTAATATATATAAAACCTTTCTTTATTTCAATTTACACTCTGCTTTGATGTAAAAAATATTTATTTTTCAAACAATCCCTCATATTTATGTGGTACAAATGGTGCGATAGTTATTATATCCAAACAGACTTTTACAGATCGATTATTTTAAAGACATTACCAACAAATAAAATTGAGATTCCTACCAAATAGACCTGAGTTTAGTGTTTTACTTGGCTTTGATTTGAACCTTTCACCCACTTAGTTCAGGCATCACACCAAGTTGTGTTATACTGTATTGTATGGATGTGTAAACCCCTTAATCCAAATCATCATTAATCATTGCCGCAAGCATGTGTTGTTGTCAGGCAGTGCTCAAAATATAATTAACCTTGGTATACACCTCAGGGTCCCAGAGGTTAAGTTTGTTTACTTAACTAAACAATAATGTAAATGTTTTGAGGATATCGTGCATGCTGTTATCTAAGTTATTTATAGATTCTACTGTCGCATATGATTCTATGATTGCTGAAAGTCAGACTATATTATTTTTGTCATTCTTTAGAAATAAACTAGTTATCAATATAGGTATATGTGTTTTGTGGCTAAATTAGTGATTTTCATCCCTTAGATAAAAGAATCGATTAGGACCGATACATGTTCTTGCTTGGTTTGTTTTGTACTTGTATTAGTCGTGTAGTTTATCTAGTTTGTTTTAATTTTTCTATGTAAAGTGGAACGTAAAAAAATCCGATTCAGTAAAAGGCGTTATAAAAGTAGATGCATTGTCATCCTAATAGCTCGAGTTACTGAAATTCCCTTAGTCTATTATCAATTAAGGGTATAAATTACTTAAATTTTGTAAACTGTGACAAAATGTGCATTATTTGTTACTTACTTAATAGTCCAGGACCTGACTAGGGTTCTGTGTGCATGTCGTGTATAGAGAATTTTGCTTTTGCATTTCAATATAGGTGTCTTAGGAAGTGTTTTCCACTCGGGTGTCAAGTTCGCACCTGGTACGTTTTCGAGCTATGACGTCATAAAGATGGCGGCTCGGCAATTTTTAAATGCATATATTTCGCAAACCGTTTAACGGATCGGTATGATTCTTTTTTTGTTTGAAAGATATTTTTACAAACTATCTTTTTTGTATTTACACATTTGTTGTAAACTTAATATTTATCTCACAATATTGAAAAACGTCGTTTTTATTGTTATTATATTTATTGTTTTGCTTATAATTTCTTAACCGCTGATAAAATCAAATACCACCCGTGGCAAAAGTTTCAGATAATTCTATACCCTTTCCAATGATACCAAACAATATGTGATTGGACCTAAAAATAAAGCAAAGAGATTGAATAAACCGTAAAAAAACACTGAAAGTGGTGTACGGTCCGGGAAAGATTTAGTCCTGGACATGACTAGGGTTCTGTGTGCATGTCGTGTATAGAGAATTTTGCTTTTGCATTTCAATATAGGTGTCTTAGGAAGTGTTTTCCACTCGGGTGTCAAGTCCGCGCCTGTTTCGTTTTCGAGCTATGACGTCATCAAAATGGTGGCTTGGGCAATTTTTAAATGCGTATATTTCGCATACCGTTTAATGGATCGGGGTGATTCTTTTTTTGTTTGAAAGATAATTTTACAGGAAATGTTTTTTGTATTTACACTTTTGTTGTCAACTTAATATTTATCTCACAATATTAAATAACGTGGTTTTTAATGTCATTGTTTTTGAAATTTACCTCATAACTTGTTAAACGCTTATAGAATGAAATAACTACCCATTACAAAAGTTGTAGATAATCTTATGCCCTTTCCAACGATACCAAACAATTAATGTTTGAAACTAAAATTAAAGCCAAGAGATTAAATAAACCGTTAACAAACACTTAACATGTCAGAAAGTCCGGAAAATATTGCGGCTGGAACAATTCTTTAAATGCGTATATTTCGCATACTGGTTAAAGAACCGGGATGATTCTTTTTTTGTTTGTAAGATGTTTTTTAAGCCTATCATTTTTGTATTTACACCTTTGTTGTTAACCTACTATTTGTCAAAAAGTTATTAGCAAAAGTAAAATAAAAATAACAATTAAATGTACATTTATTAATATTGTGGGATAAATAGTAGGTTAACAACAAAGGTGTAAATACAAAAATGATAGGCTTAAAAAACATCTTACAAACAAAAAAAGAATCATCCCGGTTCTTTAACCAGTATGCGAAATATACGCATTTAAAGGATTGTTCCAGCCGCAATATTTTCCGGACTTTCTGACATGTTAAGTGTTTGTTAACGGTTTATTTAATCTCTTGGCTTTAATTTTAGTTTCAAACATTAATTGTTTGGTATCGTTGGAAAGGGCATAAAATTATCTACAACTTTTGTAATGGGTAGTTATTTCATTCTATAAGCGTTTAACAAGTTATGAGGTAAATTTCAAAAACAATGACATTAAAAACCACGTTTTTTAATATTGTGAGATAAATATTAAGTTGACAACAAAAGTGTAAATACAAAAAACATTTCCTGTAAAATTATCTTTCAAACAAAAAAAGAATCACCCCGATCCATTAAACGGTATGCGAAATATACGCATTTAAAAATTGCCCAAGCCGCCATTTTGATGACGTCATAGCTCGAAAACAAAACAGGCGCGGACTTGACACCCGAGTGGAAAACACTTCCTAAGACACCTATATTGAAATGCAAAAGCAAAATTCTCTATACACGACATGCACACAGAACCCTAGTCATGTCCAGGACTAAATCTTTCCCGGACCGTACACCACTTTCAGTGTTTTTTACGGTTTATTCAATCTCTTTGCTTTATTTTTAGGTCCAATCACATATTGTTTGGTATCATTGGAAAGGGTATAGAATTATCTGAAACTTTTGCCGCGGGTGGTATTTGATTTTATCAGCGGTTAAGAAATAATAAGCAAAACAATAAATATAATAACAATAAAAACGACGTTTTTCAATATTGTGCGGTGAATATTAAGTTTACAACAAATGTGTAAATACAAAAAAGATAGTTTGTAAAAATATCTTTCAAACAAAAAAAGAATCATACCGATCCGTTAAACGGTTTGCGAAATATACGCATTTAAAAATTGCCGAGCCGCCATCTTTATGACGTCATAGCTCGAAAACGTACCAGGTGCGAACTTGACACCCGAGTGGAAAACACTTCCTAAGACACCTATATTGAAATGCAAAAGCAAAATTCTCTATACACGACATGCACACAGAACCCTAGTCATGTCCAGGACTAAATCTTTCCCGGACCGTACACCACTTTCAGTGTTTTTTTACGGTTTATTCAATCTCTTTGCTTTATTTTTAGGTCCAATCACATATTGTTTGGTATCATTGGAAAGGGTATAGAATTATCTGAAACTTTTGCCACGGGTGGTATTTGATTTTATCAGCGGTTAAGAAATTATAAGCAAAACAATAAATATAATAACAATAAAAACGACGTTTTTCAATATTGTGAGATAAATATTAAGTTTACAACAAATGTGTAAATACAAAAAAGATAGTTTGTAAAAATATCTTTCAAACAAAAAAAGAATCATACCGATCCGTTAAACGGTTTGCGAAATATATGCATTTAAAAATTGCCGAGCCGCCATCTTTATGACGTCATAGCTCGAAAACGTACCAGGTGCGAACTTGACACCCGAGTGGAAAACACTTCCTAAGACACCTATATTGAAATGCAAAAGCAAAATTCTCTATACACGACATGCACACAGAACCCTAGTCAGGTCCTGGACTATAAATGATTTAGCTATTATGAACTAAAACGTTGTCAGTGAGTTACAAGAAGATTTACCAAGGACAGTGAGTTGCTTGATTTCAGTTTTAAATGAAAGCTGTTGTAAGTGCTGACTTGCATAGTAGTAAAGTACATATTTGATTCCTTTTATTTGCAGAAGGTAGTTTCCTTATGCACTAGCCTGGTTTCAATATGTTTGGCAAAACTTGATTTTAACAATTTTATTAGTATTAAATGGAATGAAGACAAACTCAACGGCACCCTAACATTGAAAATCCAATACAAATTAATCAAACCAATTTTTGTGGTGCGCGCCTATTAGTGTAGGTCAATGTACGCTGGCTCTATCGTCTGCAACAATGTAAACATCACTGAACCAATATAATAGTTACTTGGAAATACAATGCACACACCATAAACATGTCGTAAATCGACTATTTTCCATTGAATTTTCAATATTGAGGTGTCGTTATGTTTGGATTAAAATTCCATTAAATTGCATTAATTAGTATTCTTGTGTTTGTGTAAAATATTCACAGTATGTATATATGTATCTTATTCTTGTTCTTATTATGCGGTTGTTACTGTTTTAGTTATTTTTTTTCATAAAATTAAAATGACCGCCATTTTAAGTTTTATTTTGATTAAATTTTGATATTTTTTCAAATGTTATACACACTGGTATAATTCATACAACAATTTGCGTTTTAACTATTACGGTTATTGATTAAAGCAATGTTTGAAAAATACAAAGTGGCGGCTCTGTGAGTACAGACGTTAAATGTATTTTAATTAGTTACGAACTCTGAACCTGAAAAGGTTGTTAGGGAGTTCCAAAACGCCCTGTATAAGTTAAAATTACGAGGTTTTAAATAATAATAATAATAATAAAGCTTAGCATGGATTCTTTTTAGAAAGATAGCAAAACTTTACAAACATATAGAAAGCAAAACAATCGTTTCATTTTTAATTTGTTATATGCCGGACAATGTGTTTATTAATCCATGGCTAATGGCTAAGGTAGACTTCCAAAAAGATCTTGAATAAATTTTCAAATTTGAACCTGTCCCGGAAAACCCCGACGAAAACTCAACTTATCAGTTTATTCAAATCTTACCCCTTAAACTTCCAACGCACAATAAGTGTAGACAATAGGGTTATTGTTAGCCATAAGCTGTGGTCTTAGCTTTTCTTAGAAACGTGTGATTTCCTCCTATTCAAAGAAGTTATTACTGTTCGTTTTCGGCGACAGACATGGAAATGTCGTATTCACATATGACTGCGAGGTCATTAGCAAGATGTTTGCCTGACAAAGCAGTTATATAAGAAAACAGCTGTCTTGGTCAGCGTCGTCAGTCCATCCGTAGCCTTCGGTGAGTACATACATAGCTTGGACAACTAACTGTTTGCTTATGCCTTATATTGTTTGTTGTGAATTATTACTTAGACCATGGTATATAGTCAATAATTAAACCATACTTGTTGTGATTCTCGAGTTATATCAATTTGCTTCTGTTTATTTTGTTCTATAATTATTATTTAAAGGCACTTACTGATTTTAAATGGGAAGAATCACAGAGCGCACATTAGTAACTGTTAGAGGTAGTATTTCATAAGCAAATACCAAATACAAAATTCTACATTTAATCAAATGATAATAATATTGTATTTAAAGTTAAATAATACGAAGTATGCTTGTAACTGTATTTTTATATCTTTATGACAACCTAAAGTGCACTGAAAATCTTCCGATGTTCAAATAATTGAATTTTGCATACCATCTTAGTGATTATTATTAACCAAACAATAATGTCACTATATGTGTTAAGTTGGAGATTTGTCAGTTTGGTAACAGTTACGAACAGGTAATTTTAATTAAAATCAAGCCATACCAGACATATTGACATTTGAATGTATATTAATCTACCTATTCTTCAGATATTTATTCTGTTGTAAAATTTTCAGAAATAAATCTGGGCCTATCATACTGAAAATATGAAGCAGTACGTGTGTGTAGCTGTAGCAATGATGGTGTTGGTAAGCGACTAATGTATTGAATTGATGTTGTTGACAGGTAGCTAGTGTATATATATAACATTGATTAACTTATTAATATTAATGGAACTAAAATTACAAAAGCTGTACTTGTGTCTGTAAGGAATATCAATTTTACGTCAATCACAGAAGAACAAACCCATAAAAACTAAATAGAGTATTGAAGATATACAGGGTGTTCAAAAAATGTGGGGACATAATTTAGGTAGTGATTCCTTCGTTCAAAATAGGCATTTTTATCTTTGAAATTTTTCAACCTACTTTTATAAAAACCTTTTACTTATGTTAAGGTAGAAGGGGCCCATCTTAAGAAAAAAATCATATTGATTCAACTTAAAAATTAAATATCGCGGCCATTTCAATTTTTAAACTTAAATTACCAGTAAATGGCTTACATTTTAAAGAAAAAATGTCAAGAACACTTTTATTTAGAATCTGTAATTCCCTATCAAACGATTCAAGTTCAAAAAGATTAAATAAGAAATATATATCAAATATTACGATTTTTAGCTGTAAATGTGGTAGAATTAAGGCTACGCTAGTCAGGTTTGTCTCACAACTAAAAATCGTAATATTTCAGCTATTTCTTATTCGATCTCTTTAACCTTGGTATCTTTTGATAGGAAATAAAAAATGCCATATAAAAATGTTCTTGACTTTTTTTTTCATAAACTCAGCCAATTTTTTTTAAATTTAAGTAAAAAAATTAAAATTGCCGCAATTTTAAAATTTTTAGTTTAATCAAGATGAATTGTTTTTCTAACATGGTTCTCATCTACCTTAACATAAATACCTAGTTTCATAAAAATTAGTTGTAAAAATTTAAAGATAAAAGTTTGTATGTAAAAAATACAAAATGGTGGATATTTGGTTAACGAAGCGATTTCCAGAAAATAGCTTATTTTTTATTTTCCCTTTATTTTGACCTAAGGTACTACTATGTATGTCCCCACCTTTTTTAACACCCTATATAATTTAGGGATTATTGCAAACATTATTTTTACCACCATTTGGGAAAAGGTTTCATGACGATTATATTAAGTCTGTAATCTGAATCTCTGTAATCTGTCCTCAAATGAAAAAGTACCTAAGATGAAGAAATTCTTGAAACATTTGCTCATCATGATGTAAACTGTCCGCAATACTCTCCCAACTAACACACGCCTATAATAACAAAAAATTTATTAACATAAATATTATATATTTATCCATCAGTCTAAAGTAAAACCCGGAAAACTTTTAATCATATTTAGTGTAATTTATAATTTAAATAGTTATTATTGACTGTTGTAATTATTTTGCCATATAATTAATGCTACTCAAAGTGTAAATATTATCTAAAGCCACATAGTTGTACTACAACATGTTATTTTTCTGTGCTCCAGGCCTCTGTCAAGGCCCAGGTCATCCCCGGGGGTGAGCACGCTGTGGAGGAGAACGACGGGAACGTTGAGGAGGCGAAACGCATTCTCATTCAGGAGGCGGAGAAAACCGCAAAGACTTTGGAAAACTCTCCTACAGTGGAGCTTAAGGACATTGTCGTCAAGAAACAGGTTTGTCTGGCTGTCATCTGTACTTGTTGTATTGACTTGCGCCTCTCGTTATGTCTCTGCCTATTCCAAACGTCTGATATATGTATTTTGAAACTAAATTTTGGGTATGTTTTAGAAAACAAAAAAAAAAAACACAATCCATTCAAATTCATATATAAATATATATAAATTTGTATATGACGTGTGTGTGTGTGTCTGTTAGAACAATAACTCGAGTAAAAGATTATGGGATTTTGATTAAATTTAGTACAAACGGTAAACCTAAATTTATTCGAATTTTTAACGAACAAACATGATCGGATAATGGGACTGGGTTTTTTGGAGATTTTTATGGAGTAAAAATTGGTTTCCCCCATTTATGATCCCAAAAACTAAGCTATGCAACTTCTTTAGAAACTATATTGTAGAGTTTAAAAAGGCAAATTAAACAAATACATAATAAATTAATAATTAACATAATTAATAATTACATTTAAGTAGTGAAGATTTGTTGTATGCCAAACTGTTCTGAAAAAACTGTAAAATAAAAATAATTCCCATGATATCCTTATAGAAAATTCATAAAAAGACTATTGTAGTTTACTTGTTTATGGATTTTTTATCAAATTTGGTAAAATTGTCAATTTCATACTAAGCTATCATTATCTGAACAAAACACGCCTTATTTATTTATTTAAGAGGTTGGCAGCCTTTGTTTAACCTTGCATTTACCCGTGCACATAGACTAACTGCCCGTGCGTGAATCGTATCCAGCAAAGCAAGGGGTGAGCCGGTACAGTACAAAGCTGTAATGATAAAATTGTTGCGGCAGTGACCAGGATCCGAACCCACGACATCGCTGCCTTAGGGCCGAAGGCCGAAGTCCGTGACGCTACCGACTGACCCACCGACTTACCTGATATGTTTTAACATTCTTTAAATTGCAGCTGACTTTTAACTTGTTTTTGTTATTGTTTTTGTTTCTAGTTTTTGACTCATGAATAAGTTCAGTTCTATTTGATTGAACTAATTTACCTATCAATTTATGTATTTACTTCAAACATAAAACTGGCGACGAGGATGATTTTATGGAAAACTTGGAGTGCAAGATAGTTTATTCAATTCTACAGGCTAATTCATTATAATGTCTGAAGATATATTACCAGCAACTCTTAATAATCCTATGTTGGTAAGTCAACCTAGATGTGAAAAATTTAACCCTAATTCATGCGACATTGATGTTTGGAATATTAAATTCAAGGCAAATTTATGTTTGGGCAATATTACAAATGATGATATTAAAAGATGTTTATTCATTGACTGCCTGGATAGTACAGTTCTTAAAACATTGGTAACTATTTGCAAGCCAAAAGAAATTAGTGAATTCACTTATGAACAACTTTATGAACTTCTGGTAAAACATTTCAAACCAGTAAAGTTTAAAGTTGCCGAAAGAGTAAAATTCTTTTCACTGAAGCAAGGTGTTGAATCTTTGCCCACCTTTGCAAGTAACCTAAAAGAATTAGCCAGCAGTTGTGATTTCCCTGGTGACTTTTATCAAGATGCTCTCATTACATCCTTCATAATGGGTATTAATGAAGATTCTATTAGAGCTAATTTACTTCAGAAAGATTACACAGATTTCAATACTGTACTTGAATTTGCTAGAACATTAAGTTCAGTTTTTACCACTTCAGCAAAGAAAAATCTGATTTCATTTTCCGATAATGAGAGCAATGGAGAGGTTCTAAATACAAATTCAAACTATTTATGCTATTCTTGTGGTGGTAACCATTTTAGGAACCAATGTAGATTTAGAAATGCAATATGTAATAATTGTGATACAAAAGGTCACTTAGCAAAAGTTTGCAAAATTAAAAGGAGAACAGATTTTCAAAACAAAGAAATTGGTGGACATGGAAAAGGAACGTACAACCGACAAGTAAATTTCACTGACAATGAAAAAGGAAGAGATTCTAGGACCTTTATCGACTCTAACATACTTGATTGTTCACCTAAGTTGACAAATGAAGCTATTTTTTCTCTTGGTCTTCAGTGTCATAACGTCAGTGTATTTTCTCCAATTTGGGTTTCTATCTGTATCAATAGTATTTTAATTAATATGCAACTAGATACAGGAAGTTGTGTTTCTGTTATATGTCAACGAACTTGGGAAAGATTGGGAAAATTTCCTTTGTTACATTCAAATACAAAACTGACATCTTATAGTGGCCATTGCATAAACTTGATTGGTGAACAAACAGTTAAAGTGGCATTCAAGAAAACTAAAAGAGAGCTAAAGCTGTACGTTGCTGAAGGTGGTACTCAGGATCTTTTAGGTAGAGACTGGATCGAGGAGCTTAAAATCAACGAATTGCCACTTAATTCATTACAAAGTGATTCTTTATGGGTTTCCAAGGAAGTTGATGACATTTCAAGGTCAGGGTTTCAAAGTTCACTTCCAAGAATGAGCTTAAGTAAATTAATTGATTCTAATAAGGAATTCTTTTGTAACAAAAGTGGCCATTGTACAAAATTCACGGCACACTTAATTTTAAAGGAAGACGCTTCTCCTATTTACAAGAAGGCAAGGCCAGTTCCATTTGCAATAAAGGACAAAGTGTGCGAGGAAATCGACAGACTTGTAGAAGCTGATCTGATAGAACCAATTGACTATTCTGATTGGGCTGCACCTTGTGTAGTTGTTAAAAAACCTTCTGGTCAAATAAGAATTTGTGCAGATTTTTCAACAGGATTGAATCAGGCTTTAAAGATTCAGAAATTTCCTCTACCTACACCTGAGGAAATATTTGCTAAGTTGAATGGAGGAGAAAAATTCTCAGTCATAGATTTATCTGATGCCTACTTATCAATACCAGTAGATAGAGATTCGCAAGACTTACTAGTGATTAATACCATCAAAGGACTTTACAAATACAAGCGACTTTGTTTTGGAATCGCATCCGCTCCAGCTATATTTTCTAAAGTTATGTACAACATGTTGAATGGGTTGCCAGGCGTAGCAAACTATCTAGATGATATAATTGTTACAGGGCACAATGATGAAGAACACTACAAAAATCTAGAGAATACTTTCAATAAAATTAAAGAGTTTGGATTCCAATTGAACAAAGATAAATGCAAGTTTATGCAGGAAACAGTGACATATCTTGGGTTTGTCATAACTAAAAATGGCATACAAGTTTCGGATTCTAAAGTTCAAGGCATTGTAGATATGCCACAGCCATCAAATGTCAAAGAGTTGGAGGCATTTTTAGGTATGGTTACATACTACTCCAAATTCATACCAGAATTTTCAAAAGTTTGTTATCCTTTAAATCAACTGCGGAAGAAAGGAGTAGACTGGTTGTGGACTGATCAGTGTAAACGCAGTTTCAACAAATTAAAAGACTTGTTAATGAATGCACCTATACTAACACATTACAATCCAGAGTTACCCATCATTCTTGCTGCAGATGCATCAGCTGTAGGAATCGGTGCTGCATTTTTTCATAGATTTTCTGACAACTCTGAAAAGCCTATTGCATATGCTTCAAAAACATTGACTTCCACTGAAGCGAACTATTCTCAAATAGAAAGAGAAGGGCTGGCCATCATTTTTGCGATAAAGAAATTTCGCCCATATCTACTGGGAAAACACTTCATTTTACAGACCGACCACAGACCCTTGCTTACAATTTTTGGATCTAAGAAAGGGGTACCTACCACAACTGCCAATAGACTTCAGCGTTGGGCACTAATACTGTCTAACTATACGTATGACATTGAATACATATCTACAAAAAAATTTGGTAAAGTCGATGGTTTGAGTAGATTACCGTCATTTCAACCTAATTCTTTTGATTCCAATGATGAGGGACACCATACAATAGTAGCGACAATTCAAACAGAAGTGCAGTCCGAGATTCCTGTTACTTGTACTGAAATCGCTGAGGAGTCGGTTAAGGACCCTGTTTTGAAGAAGGTGATGCACTATGTAAAAGTTGGTTGGCCTAATAAGTGTCCAGAGGAGAACTTGAAGCCTTATTTTTCTAAGAAAGATGCACTGACTCTACATAATAACTGTCTTCTGTGGGGAATAAGAACTGTTATTCCACCTAAATACCGAACTTACATCATGAACTACTTACATGAATCTCACAATGGCATGGTCAGAATGAAGTCAGAGGCTCGGGGTCATGTGTGGTGGCCAGGTATGGATGCTCTAATTGAACAGACTTGTCACCGTTGCCGTGAATGTAACTTGTTTGCAAAAGATTTACCAAGTAAAAAACATCTATTCAACTGGCCTAAAGAAAGTGAACCTTGGAGTCGAATCCATTTAGATTTTGCTGGACCATTTTACGGACAAATGTTTCTCTTAGTAATTGACGCTTTCTCGAAATGGCCAGAAATAGTACCTATGTCCTCTATTACCACAGAAAGGACAGTAGAAGCGCTCAAGAATTTGTTGTGTAAATATGGAATACCTAGAACAATCGTCTCAGACAACGGAACTTCATTTACTTCGCAAGGTTTTAAAGATTTTTGCTTGCGTAATAATATCAAACATATTACGACTCCAGTAGCTCACCCAAGTTCAAATGGACAAGTGGAGAAAAATGTAGATACCTTTAAAAGAGCTATGAACAAATTACAGTACAATAAAGAGCCTAGCTTGTTCACAGACAACTTGAGGACATATTTATTTCGCTATCGAGCTACACCTCACACTGCAACTGGACAAACACCTGCATCTTTGTTCTTGGGTCGTAATCTGCGAACTAAATTAGATTTTATCAAACCTTCACAAGAGATAAACTCAAGAGATGAACCTTCTGACGTGCTGCGATATAAGAAAACCAGAGGCTTTTCTATTGGGAGTACTCATTTAAATCCATGTTGTGTAAGTAGGAAATACATCTAATCATGTTAAACAGAACGTTTTTATTTATTTTTTTTTATCAAAGTGGTAAAAGGAAAATCTATTAGTCTGTATGTTTGTTATCCTCTCATAGAAAGATTATTGGTGAAATACCGATTTTTTAAATTTTTATACACGTAAAAAACCAATTTGTAAACGTAAAAATCACCAGCATCCATTTAATTGTTCTATGTATCATGTTTTCACTGATCACTTCATTTTTTATGTGAAAAAAAATATCCTATGGATTTAATGCATACATTTAATAAAAACAAAGTTTTCCTAGCTAAGAAGACGGTTAGGATCTTCAGTTTAAGATGGATTCCAAATCAAAGAGGCCAATGAATTATCACGTCTATCACGTCATGGAAAATCCCCATAGACGATTGGCGAGAGTTTGAACGCCGACTTCTGACCTCACGTAATTTAAACGTTTCATGTTTTCTATATAACTAACATATTTGCATTGTTATATTTCAGACTGTCGCTGGGACCCGATACAACTTTTCATTCAAGGCGGTGTACACTTATCAAGACGGAAAACAGGTAAGAGTATTTATCAGTAAAAACAAATCAAACATTAAACGAGTTTTAAATTTTACGTAAACAGCGATCAATAAATAACTAGTTTTTGATAGCATTTGTAAAATAAAAACAGAAAAAAGTGGCGTTATAAAATTAGACGAATAGCCTATGTGCATTAAGTTAAGTTTAATCCTAACATATTGATAACTTCAAAAAATGCTCTGTTATATAATTTAAAAGTATACATGTAAACACTATAAAATTTCAATTCGTTGGAAATGTTTTCGATAACACAAATCTGTGGTTCCTAATCTATTGTTGTTTAGTTACCATTATAAGAAAAATCAAATTTTAAAATATCTATTGACCGAAGTCATTACTGTGTTTGTCATTGACATTGAGCTTTATTTTACTAATTAAATTAAATTCACAGCCTATTTAAGTTTATAAATATTTATTAAAACAGTGTGATCAAACAACTGAGCTCAAAAAACTGAACAATTATTTATATTTTTAAAAAATGTAACAATAAAGTGCCAGCTGGTACATTACAATTAGTTCCAAAGAAAACCGTCGTTGGACGATAAGTAGCAGGATTAATATTCTTATAAATACTTCAATTATAACTTTTATCGATTAATCTTATCCTGTTCTGTTAAGAAAATATCCGCTTCTGGCTATTGTGAGTCATTGTGTGTTTTGATTGTTCTAAGGAAATCGCTGTTGTTACCATAGCTTCTATTTCTCAATCCTTATCTTTCTAACAATTAATTGGTCACTTTACAAAAGTTTGCTTAGAAAGTTAAATTGAGATTAAAAATGAGGAAAAAGAAGGAGGGGATTGTCATGTCTGATAAGTCATAAACTTGTTGCGCGTTTTATTTTTCAGTTTTGTTTCAATGTCTTTTATCATTAGTTTTGAATCATTTTAGAGTAAAGTAAACGGATGGAAATGTTTAGGATTTGTATTTATATCAAACTCAAAAGTTTCCTTGTCATTTGCTAGATTTACACCGTTGTACAGCCTCAGACCGTATTACTCATTACTTCATGCTAGGCATAGAGGATTGCATTACACATCTAAATTCATTGGTTCTTGAGGGATTTGCACCCGGAACCTTAGAGACTAAACTATGTGATCAACCTTTAGCTACAATCATTAAAATTAATCATTATAAACGTAACTAGAAGACACGTTTAGCTTACATTATGGACACCGTTTATGTTACGGCTTATTTCCAATTTGGAGGATATTTATTGTAATTTTGCATTTTTCATATGTTTCAAGGTCACCAAGTCTTGCACAGCCAGCCTCATCAAGCCTCTGAGAGCTTACGACCCGACTGAAAAGATTACATTTATCGAGAACCGTAACAAAGAGAAGATACATTGTGAATAGTGTAAAATGATTTTGTATGCGAATACAACAATTTACTAGTTGAAAATAAACAAATTAAAAAAGAATTGTATTTATTCCAACTAAATGTGTAATTGATAATTCTTTATTATGTGTATATTTTAGTCTATTTTTTTACTGTTTAGTTCACACATTTTACACAAATCTTTTAAGGGCTTATAAATAATAAGGATTCATATTTTGTATCCCAGATGTATTACATTTTTTGACGTAAATAGAACATAGGTGAATGAGACCTTTATAGCTTGTGCTACTATTGAAGTATATTATCCATTTTAGTGTCTCCTACAGGACCATGATATTACATGGAAAAGTGATGCTGCAGTCTCCAAAGTTTTTCATTGCAATTTTGCATGACTAGATAGTTTATATGCGTGTGAAAAGAAATGGTTTTCTACAGCAGCACACTTTAGTAGTGGCTCTATTTTATTAAGTTAATCAGTAAAAAGATGTTATATTTTAACATGGCTATGGAATGTCTACCTCCAATGCAGTGAATACACGTTATATGCTCATGTTCATCTCCTGTGTCAGTAGTATCTCCAAAGTATTTCCTCAATTTACAAAAAAGAATGTTTAAAAACCCCGTTTTAATTAAAAAAATAATTATGCTATCAAACTAATCACCAACGAAACAACAATATTGATCGCACAATATTATGACCTCATGTTTTTTTATTATTATTAATTGTAAGGTATGTTTTTTTTTTTAGATATGATTTTTTTAATATGGTCAATATGGTATCACACAAACAGTTTTGCTACGAAAATATGTTAATGTATTCAAATTTAATGATTAGTGACACCTTATGAACTTAAAGAAATGTGTGTCGACGATCTAAGTGTACTTCTCATAACTTAAATCAATGACTCACAAGTATTTTGTAAAGAATGGGAAGGGGTGGGGCTGGTTAATTAGTATCAAATGAATGAATAAACTAACTAAAAAAATGTGGGACTAACGTTGCTTCAGTAAAATCGTATTAGAGAGCAATATTGCACAGCATACATCCTTGCCACATTACATATGGTTTCTCTAATACGTTTACACCTATGCTATGTCGGTAGGCCTGTTTCAAAGGCAGGTCACGTGGTCTAATGACCCCCAGGTGACGTCATATCAGGGTAGCAATCAAACACGAGTCCTCGCTGATTGCTTTGTGTAGTTACATTCACACTTTCAAAGGGGATCATTACTTATGAAATTGTGAAAGGTGAGTAATTGAATGTAATTCCAAAACTGATGTTTGTGAGCTTGACACTAATCATGGACACTTGTACGACCCATCATCCCGTAGGTGGAGTTTCTACGAATCTATTCTGTCTTCACTGTGGTATATTCTGAATTGTGTAAAACTTTGAGGGCATTGTTCAATCATTTGATTATTAAGACAGTAATGCAGATTGTGTATGTTTAAGTAGATTAAACATGCCAGATGTGGAATCGAGATAATGTATACAGCTTTATTCCTGCCAAGGGTCATTCACTAAAACCGTTTCTTTATTACCAAAAAGCTTCGGGCTTTTACTCAAGATTGAACCGGGAGATCCAGATTACCAAGCAAATACTATAGAACCTCTTAATATTATACATACATAAAGTATTACATATTATGCTATTTTCTATGACGTATTTATATAGTCTCCAAAAATATCACTAGAAAATATTTGAAATACTTTGTCAACATAAAATATATTGTAAATTTATGCAATAAATTTCCAACTTTCAAAATTAATACGTACCTAGTTATAGCCAACAGGTTATACAGGTTAGGCTTATAATAAATTTGCTTAATTCATGGTTTATTATTATGGGATCATAATATATGTAATATTTGTGTATAATATAGTATGGTTGATAGGATTATTGTAGTATGGCAAAACTATTTGTATTATTTGTATTTGTATGGCGATACTAGTACCTTTGTATTAGTTTAAGGTGTTTGATATTGTATGATTACGCCAACTACTTGAGAAGCAGTGATCAGAACACACTAGCAGCATACAACAGATACGCTGTTATGACAAAGGTTTGTCTTCGTTATTCTTGGTTCTTCATCCATGGAGTAGTAAATTCGGAGACTTATTTTTATTTTCAACCTTTGAGCAGACAGCATGAAGGCGCCAATCTTAGAACAACTTTGTACGTAACACAAATAAGCTTTTTAAATAAGCAGATTTGGCTATTTACAGAAACATTTTTTGTATATATTTTTAAGGAAAGTCTAAACTTGTTCCGTACAGTAATAAAACATATAGTAACACCTCATTTATATTTTCAAATTAAAAACTACGCAACTTTAAGTCTCCATATAAACCTAGTAAAAGTTGTACCTTCTACAATTAAAATGTGTCTCCCTGCTTTGGCATTTTGTATGCAAATTTTAATAATTTATAGTAAAGCCAAAATGGCTTCATTTAGACAGAGTTAAGAGAAACTCCTATAGTTTTGTTTAAAATGGGGTGTGGTTTTAAAACTAACAATTGCAAAAATAATCCCTTTTGAAAATTGATATTATAGGCCACTACACAATATTAAATTAAATTGTATTATTTTCAAATCTTAACAATTTAGCTTTAGTCATTTGTATTCCCAAGATTTTACGGAAAATGGGAAGCTAGGTTTTCTCATATGTTCAATGACATTTTATGCAGCATCTTGTAGTTTAAATCCCTACAACTGAGGACAGGGGCTTGGAACTCAAGCTGTTGTAACATGAGCGTTCCACCGAGCGCTAAGTGAGGCGTTTTACATCACGCTTTGACACGTTTTGAACAGAAAGAACAGGGGGAAACATAATAGGCCTAATGGATTAATGTGCTTTTTGTGAGATCCGTGTCAGCCGTATGCACGAGTCACTTACGTTCTGAGGTAGCTTGGTACACTCTATACTCCATTCATACGTGTTTCCTTCATATTGACATCGATTGCTCTAAGCTACCAGATATAATTTAATGTCTAAAAACTAGGATACAATGCAAATATGTGCATTTATCTGTCTAATAACAATATAATAGACAAAGATATTTCCCTTCACAAAGCTTAACTTAAACCGCAATTTATTTGAGATGGCCTAGTGTACTATGAAAATTTGGCTATTTATTAGTCAAGAACTATCAAAGGTCAATCATTGGTTACACCCTGTATACTGTTCCATGACCTCGCAAAGATGCCACTAGTTTATCACTGATAGTAACTTATTTATTATCGCTTTACTTGGTTTAAATATACAGGGTGATTCTAAATTATTGTTACACTTTTGAATCTCTATAAATAAAAACCCATAAAGCCTATCATCACGGGCTGATGATCAATTGAAATATAATCACTTTGGTAAACATAGTTGTAAAACTCTAGAGACATTTTAAAGTTTTAACTACGATTTTTAACCAATTACACAATTTTACCTCTCTAAATCTCAAAACTTCATCCTCTATGTTGAATTACCAAAATTTTTAAGTACACTGCTAGGGGTCACTTAGTTCTATGATTTGCCGCTCAGTCATTGTTTTCGGCCATTATTGTAAGTTGCGGAACCTTCAAAAATCCAAAACTGTTCTGTGTTTTAGAGTTTGGGACGACTTCATCTTCAAATAGACGTGACATGTGCAGCCAGAGGGCATAATATTATAATATTTAGCTATAATCTTGTTCAATTTTTTTTTACTAAAACACCTGCTATTTTATTGATACTTTTTGACGCCGCGGTTTTCATAGGTTTTAAATTATATAACTAATTGTAAACCATGGTTAAAATTTTAAAATGTCTGTAGGCTAAATTTGCAACTATGTTTACCAAAAAGTATCAAAATAAACTTAGAATCTCCTCTTTCAATTGATTCTCACCCCGTGATGATAGGTTGTATAGTTTTTTACTTTCTCCCCCTATACCATAGTATATGGAGAAAGTATTGTTTTCGTCAAAATTTTCGAGTTTGAGTTTTGAGTGGATATATTCGTTTTGGGTCCCCCTGGACCCAAAAAAGTGGTTTTCGAAGTGATGTCTGTGTGTGTGTGTGTGTGTGTGTGTGTGTGTGTGTGTGTGTGCTTTCGTGCTGCATAAGCTGTGGGGACATGAGTGTGAATGTGACCAGACTGTGTGGACCTGGTCGCTTATGTGGACATCACACACGTCCACACAATTTTCACAGGAAATACATTAACTGTGTGGACTTAGTGATGTCTGACTAGTGTCGCTCCTACAGACTTTTTGGTGAACAAGGAAGGCTGCTGGCGGCTACTAGCAATGGGACTTGAGTGATTGGCTTCCCAATCTCCTGATATAGAATACTCCTTGTACATTTCATAATACATGAATAACCCAATCAACTATTTAAATAATTCTTACAGTTTGGTTAAACATAGCATAATTATCATTTATATATATTTATTTATTTATATAAATTTTATTTTTTTAACTTTTTATGCCACCTAATATTTTTTTCATAGTTATTTATTTTACTATTTGTTCTTGTGATTCCATTTAGCTCATATTTTCACCCATCTTCTTTCATTTATTTATTTTTTCTATTTGATCAAATAGAATTAGATCAAAAGGTTAATTTAATTTATTCAGTTCATTTCACATTTATGTTTTTCTTCTCCATTAAATATTTGTGTACAATTTTTGTAAATACTTTGTTGGAATAAATATATAATTAATTCATCATAATAAATATAATGAGTGTGTGATATAATAAATCATTATCACATTTAAATGTTACATATATTATTCAATATAGTATTTAGTAAGTAAAAAAACAATTTGCAAGATCCATTTGCAACAATTTGCAAGTGAATAGACAGTGCTGGCCAGACTTCACAGTTTTATCACTTTTTATTATTTTTTTTATAATTTGATCAACATGACTAGTTTTGACTATTGTGATTTTGACAGTATTTTAAAGAATCTTTTGACATACCACAATGTTAATACATTGATTATGTGATTGCATAATTACCTGACGAAGTTCTAAGGAACGAAACTAGTCGTCATACCAGCAACTGTGGTTGGATGAGGTAATCCTTTTATATTATTAATAAAACTTGTGTGTGTGTAATGAAAGCAAGTGGTTTACTAAGAACAAATAACAGAAGTCATTGGATTCATCCTTTTTGTCGTGAACGTGATGCAGGTGAACGTTTTCGTAAATGTATTTTTGTAAATAACTAAAATCTTGTAAATAGGGGGATCAGTATTTTGTTTTGTCTTTAGTTTTAAGTTGGGATTAGTTAATTGACAAGAGTCATCCTGTAAAACAGTTTGTACTGAGGAGCGCTTGCTAATAAAGACATTTTTATTTATTTATTATTTCGTACGTTTTACAAAATATCAGGAAACATGAGACAACGTTTTTTTATACTATCGTATGCCAGTCCAGTCATTCGATGAGCTTCTTCAGATCATGAGGCCTCAGATAACAAAAATAAACACGCATTTTAGGAATGCTATTCTATGCTATCAGAATATTATTATGCCTGTATGTCCCACAGTGATAGCTGGCCGTGAACATTTTCGATAAACTTATCAACATCAAACATTTCTAGTAGATTCTAAACAACCTCACAACGCAACAGGATAGTTTGCACGAACCCCCGAGACTGAACGAGTTTTAGGTCTTTGTCTGGTCGTACTAAGATGATTGATTAAATGCACTAAGTTAAATTTCAGTTGTGACAAAATTAGTCAGTACAGTTTTTATCTCTGTCTTATTACATTCTTACATTACAAGTCCCATCATTAATTAAATGGCCATCATTAATTGTCTTGACTTTCTGGTTAATTGCGTCCTTAAGTACGGGGTTTGTGAGTGTAGATGCTAAGTTTGAGAACGCCTCACAAAAGAAATTTACACACGCTAAAATCTGGTGATCTAGGGGCCACGACATAATATCACGACATAAATATTGGGAAGGTGGAATAAACCATTCTAGAAAAGAAATATAATAAATTTAATGAAAATTGAATCCTTATGGGCAGTGAATCTTGTTAAATTAACATTTATAAGGTTTAATGTATCTAACGTTGTTGTCTCACCTGTGACATAAAAAAGAGCTTAATCAACAATTATGAACCACAGCTTGACACAGGGCCGTCCAAAGGGGGTTGGGGGGGCACCAGGGCTAGTTGACCCGGGCGCCGCAGCAAATTCTGTTTGTGGTATTGTAGGTTTGCATGAATTGTAAAGGTTATCAGATTATGGCGTTAATAAATACGAATCTGAAAAAGGAGGCTGTAGTTAACAATAATTTGTAACACTATAGGTGTAATCAAAATGTAAACGTAATGTGGTATGAAGCTTACATATGCGAATGTGACTAGTACTGGGGGGGGGGGGCACCGCGACTACATTTTCCCCGGGTGCTATTAACCCTAGGGACGGCCCTGGTTGACAAAGCGTTTCGACATCTACATCATCCTAACAGTTTCTTTAGAACCGAACGGCTGCATTTTCCCGATAGATTCCGTTTTCCTAAAATTAATTCGTACGGACATAATTCATTTGAAAAAATAGAAATAATTCAATAATAAAGTGAATTACAATTAAAAAACTGAGAAGACAAAATGTTTAACTTTCCTCTAATCGTAAGTGGTTGTCGTCAAGATGCTACCCCAACAAAACGGCACCATCTATATAGATGACCGAAGTGTTGGGTGACTTGTAGGTTGCAATTTAAGTGCCGAACCGACAGTATAGTCATTAATTAAAATATATACATTTTCCTTACGTCCGTCAGTAATTTTAATACGCTTTATTTCTTCTCATAAAACCTTTTGTACTGCCGTTGATTATGACTGACTACAACTGACTACAAGTACAGGTAATGTATCATATATAAAGGGGGAGACGTGATTCATATGATAATATTTCTTTGTACTATCGGTCGCTGATTACTGTACATAATCATCTTTTTCCTACCTGCATTAATCCATTTACACTATCACCGATTATAGGCGCTAACTAGAGCTACAGTTCAACATAGTCAAGCTATAGTCAAATTTGAAACTGAATTGAGTACCTCATCTGAAAGGGCTTTCTGTTCAGAGGCAAAGTCAGTTGGTGTCCTAGATTAAGTCAAACCCAAATACAGCAAAGTATTTAATTTATATATTATTAATAGGCTATATAAAATATTCAATTAATATTAATTAATAAATCAATATTGTAAAATATTAATATGAAATTAATACTATAAAATATTCATATCAAATTATACAATATTAATATATAATATTAAATTATATTAGTAATATGGAACCAAATCGATTGTATCACTGAAAAATATCGATAATTCTCCAGCAATATCTTTATGAAGACATTGGTGTTTTGGCCTGATATTTTAATCTGACGAGAAACTGTTTTTCTTACTTATTAAGTTTTTTACAATGAATTAATACATAAATATTGTTATTTCATATGCTACATAGCAATTCGGATGTGACTAATATCATAGATAAAACATACTCCCTTAGTAGATTTCTCATCCTTATGGAACAGCTGAAGACAATTTTATTGTTAGTTCATGTACGGTTTATGTAGAGGTCGTGTTTTGTTTACAATTTGTTTCCCGTTATTACAGCCATTTAAAACCTCGTTTAACCAAATAATAGATCTAATCATAAACAATTACTTGTCCCCTAGTTATATAACCAAACAGTAAAGCACAAATCAAGAAATTAACCCTAAAATAACGGAAACAAAGTTTCATCGACACTAGCGCCTTTGTGTCACTTACATGAACTAGACACGAAAAACGTGCTTCAAAATTTACAATGGGATGAGAAGTCTACTGTGTTGGTTAGTCTATGCTAATATACAACGATTTGTTTATAAAGAATAGTGGAGCCATAACCTAAATATACCGTCAAAATGCAACCAGTGAAATTCCCAAACTGTGTGGACATTAACACCTTCAAGCGAAAAAACACTCGATTGTGCCAACATTTGCATTATCTGTGTGGACATGTGTACTAGCTTTTGCATTACCTGTGGGGACATGACCGACTCCTGCATTAACTGTGGGGACGTCCACACAATTTTCATGATTTTTTTTACTACATTTTGACCAATAAACAAGGAGTGTTCTTTTATTCATCTTCAGTTTGAGGTTAGAAAGAACCTAGGATATTTTTTTCAGCCGTGTGCCTTGATGTCCACATAGTTTGGTTAAAAACCCATGTCCACACAAGTATAGGGATGGCGTGTATGTGTGTGTGTGTGTGTGTGTGTGTGTCTGTGTGTCTGGATGTGTACAGAGCTAGAGACCACACCTGTAGTCCGATTTCGATGAAATTTTGTAAGTAGGTTCTAATCCACGGTATCTCCAGGCGTTTTTTTCATTTTTTTGAAATTTTTATTTTTAAGGGGGATTTTCCCATAAAAAACCGGAAAAATCGGATTTTCTCGAAAATGGCCCGAACGATTTTGATAAAAATTTAATATGTTGTAGCCCTTTAAATTCTGAATAAAATGGTACAAATTCCATATCTGTAAAAATTACGGTTCAAAAGTTATGGTCAAATATGTTATTTTCCCATAAAAACCCCATAAATTAACGAAAAATAGGATTTTAGAAAAAAATCCGGTTTTGATTTAACATAGTATGTTATAGTCCTTACAGTTTTATAGTTTTTTTATTTTTTAGAAATTTTTATTTTTAATGGGGATTTTCCCATAAAATCCCATAAAATATCGGAAAAATATGATTTTCCCAAAAATGGCCCGAACGATTTTGATAAACATTTAGTATGTTATAGTCCTTTATATTCTGAACAAAATGGTACAAATCCAATTTCTGTAAAAATTACGGTTATTGTAAATTATGTCATTTTCCCATAAAACCCCCATAAAATAACAGAAAAATCGGATTTCCCCAAAAATGGCCCGAACGATTTTGATAAAAATTTAGCATGTTATAGTCCTTTAAATTCTTAACAAAATTGTACAAATCCCATTTGCGTATATTTACTCTCACCACTTACATATGATAAAGGTTTTTGACAAACTTATGGGAGAAAGTATGTGTCAGAATGCTGATACCGTTTATTTTCATTTATAGAGTTTAAAAAGTGTAACAATAATTTAGAATTGCCCTGTATTTAAAACCTTTAGCCTCTGCCCTCTTGTTAATCTAGTTTAGTACGAAACTTTATCTATAATGGAGAAACCGTTGGAATGAATAAATAAATGAATGGATCTCGTTCTCCACAATGAAGCTGCGAGTAATTTGTCTTAGTGTGATGGTATTACGCACACTATAAAATGTGTTATGCCTTGATGTTTTAGTTCTTTTTTTTGTTTTTTTTTTTACTTTGTCAGATACAGTATTGTGTTTGTACATAGGCTGGTATAATCAACCTTTGATCCAAAATAATATCAGTGTTAGTTTAATTTCTGAAATGAGATAAACATTTTGAAGGTGGTTATAATACACTCAGATATAGGGATGCTAACATCAACAACTAATTGAAATTGTATGCCCATTTCTAATCAAATATTTTACCCAGGTTTTTTTTGTCATCAAATACGAAAATTTCATAAAATTACAATTGAGACAATGGAACCTTTTTGAGACAATGGGACCTTTTTGACTCAACGTTTATACTATACGTGGGGCATTATAAAATGTTCCGGTATTTAGTGAATAAACACGCTTTTTAAGCTACTGAGCCTTATCAATGCTACGTATGTTATATTGGTTTGGCAGGTGCCGTTACTTCATTGTTACTAGTTAGTCTTGACAATGAATACAAACGTTATAATCAACAGCGTTGTTTACAATACCTTGTTAGTTCAGATGTTTTGCTGGTGTTTATCTCTTTGAGCACTTCAACATGCTCAATACTTTTGGGACTTCAAGTTGGTAAGATTACTTGCTAAGCAAAGTATAATATTTCTATTGTGTCTTTTACAATATTTAAAAACTTATTTACCTTATTACCTTATTATAGGACCATACATTTATTACAAGAAGGTAGATTTGCAGAAGTTTCTAATAAGACACAGGTTGAACTTAATACTTGCAACTGCAAATTGAATCTGTTTAAAAAATTCTGATGCTTGTCTGTTTTTTTTTTTGTTTTTTTTTTGTAAATTTTGTTTATATTTTTAGTAAATTATTTGAATAGTTTTAAAAACTCTCAGTTATAGAATGACAGAAAAATTAAGAGTTAATGCAAAATTTAAAAAAATCATACTTTATTACATTGTTTTAGCTTCTTGTAAAAGGTCTTTTCACATATACATTACAATTAATAACTTAGTTAACTTATCTTTGATGAAATAGGAACACCTTATATTTTCTTAATGGGATGAGTACCTAACGATAAATATTATAAAAACTAAAAAAACGTATATTTTTTAAATCGCCACTTTTTTATAATTGAACAAGATTGTCTAGAGATTGGTTAAAAGTGATGTTTTAGCAGAGCAAAAAATTAATAAAATTATTCCACAGATAATCAATTAAATGGCAATTAGTTCATTTTGTTTTCAGCTTACACTTTGAGTAGAAGGAATAAGCAGGACAAAATATGAAAAGACAAATTATGAATTTGTACCTAATTTTGTCAGTGACATCTATTATCGTGGTAAGTAAAATCGTTATACATCGATTTGTGTTCCGTCAAGTGTCTTTGTTTTATCTATTAATGTTTAAATGTCTTTGTTTTAAACAGTCCATGTAATTCCATCACATGACCATATCCATTGTTGCCTTCATTCGCCTCGAATCACTTCTCATAACAACACATAGGCCTACTAACCTTTTCTCCTAATAAATCAACCTTTTTTATATAAAAACTCTCGACTTTTTCCTATCTAGTATAATTACACCACATATTTTGTAAAAAATAGAATTCGCGAGTAATTTTGCAAATGGTGCTAGGCCTATAAAATAAGTCGGTCGTGTTTTTTCTTTTTTCTATCCTTTCATAAACTGGGAATGTGTTTGCAGTGATTACGGGAGCTCTATAAACAAATGAGTGGTATAATAAATAAATGATAAAAATCAATCTGGGTGGTTGAGTGGTTATAGTGCTTGTCTTTTTTAATCTGCTGGTTGCTATATTGCTTCATATCTGGGTCACTATCAACGATCACATAATATAAATCAAACCAGTTAACAACAAGAGAGTCAAATGTGATTGACTAAGATGCCAATAATCTTTTGGGAATTGATCAATGAGACTGCCCAACAAAATTTCGGAGTGAAATAGTAACAAGGCCAGGCTCTGGACTCTCTTTAAAAACATACAGGATTTTAACCATGTTAAAACACACAAAATTACACCAAATTTAGAAGAGGCATATATTTTATTTAACTTTTATACAAATTACTGAGAAAATTTAATAGAAAATTACTCTCCCTTTTTAAGGTGTGTGTCAGGGGTTTGGGGAACAACAGCCCCGTCGGCGACGATGATCCCAATGTAGCCAAAGCACAGGATATGGTCCAACTGAAAATCCAAGACTACTATCCTGGAGCACAAGTTCTCTTCGATACATTCAATACTCGAAAACAGGTACACAATTTATGATAATTTTCATTCTAGGAAGAATAAGTAACAATAATGGTTTTATATTTTCCTGAAATCAAAACTTTTAAACATTTAAGTGCTAATACATTTGTCCTAGTTAAAGACACGTCTGACTGATTGGATACAGGATGTAAATACAGATTATATTTTACCAGATTATAATAATTTTACAAAAAATCTGAAACCTTCGTCTGCATGTAATAATATTGCTCATAACTATACTAACAACCTCTTAAATTTAATGATCGTTAGCGTTAAGTAAACAAACATAGTACTTTAATTTATGAGGTTCATCTATTGTTCTACAGCAACAAATACATTTTTATAATTTTAGGTTGTAAACGGTATTCGATACAATCTGAGTTTTGATGCATTCTGGGATGGTACTAAATACAATCAGAAGAAGGTACGTATGTTTATAATATTGCTACATTGATTATCAGCATAATTTCATAATTTGATTATCAGCATACATTGATTAGCAGACTGTATATTTCTGTAAGTAAATAATGTCCCCTATTTTATATTACCAAGCCAAAGAAGGCACAATTGTGATTTTTTATATATATTCTAGCTGAATATAGTATTTAACACCGTTACTATTTCTTAATTCTTCCGTATTACAGTAGTAACTAAAGAGTCTATAAGGGTACCACTATGAACAGTGCATGATACAACATTATTTAGTTATTACGTTGTTTATTTTGGATCGGAAAATTAACACTCATGCATTGGTTTAATCGTCATCAAATCTTTTCAAAAAAGAATCTTTCATTAAACCACAATATAACACCAAAATCGTATATATCAGATTAAACAAGTACAAACATAAACACAACATTTTGTTTAAAATAAATGAGTTTTTTTATGTAGGCCCTCTAGGTGTATACAGAAAATAACCTTTTTTTATTTACAGGGTAAATTACAGTGTACGAGTGCTGTCGTCCAAAAGCCTGGCAAAACTAATCTCCAGTTTGTCCAAGAATACGGGAAAACTAATGTCATAAATTGTCAATAAAAACTATCTTCATGATGCCCAAAAGTGATTATTTTCACCTTGTTTTATGTATGTAAAGTACTTATCTTTCCAAAAAATAAACCAATTAAAGTTTTGGCTAAATCAAGTAAGCTGAAAATAGTGAGTGAATTGAGTAAGTGAAGTAAAGTAAGTATACAAAATGAGTTAAGTAAAACTGTGAGTATAAATAGTTAAGTATAACTAGCAGCCAGCGTCACTTCGTCATTTTAAAATCCATGATATGTTTTAATTAATTTAAAATATTCTACTGCTCTCAGTTAATTTGAAAAATTATCTATGTTTTACGTTATATTCATTGACTTGTCACTGACTTTTATTTCTTTTAAGGAAACCCTGAACATAACTTTGTTAGTAGTTTTTCCGATACAATATTAAATCATGCTTAAAAAAGTGAAACGAATTTTAATAAAAAAAAAAACTTCTTTAGATAAGTACTGTACATTATTCCAGCCAAAGTCCTTATTTTCCTCATCAAAATAATTCACACGGATAATTGTAAAGACATTCACAGAACCTCTGGCCTAACTCCGTCAAATAACCAACATAAAGTTGCCCGTGGGAAAATACTGTGTTCATGTATTACGTCTAAAATATAAGCATCACAAATACTACATACTTCATTCTTTAGTCCAAGTTCAAAAGGGGGGGATTTACTCAATTGCCCATGGCTAAGGACAGTAACAGCCCTTAAGGGTCAACTGTTGATAAAGGGTGAAAACGAGTCATATCCTTATTATTTTCATTGAGTTTGCGATCTCTTCTAGGCATCTTAGAGAAACTGCAAATACTAATGAAACATAGGCTACTATGAAAACACTAATTCAAACGAAAAGTAATTTTCTTCCTTATACTTATTCTTTACATTAACTTACTTCATTCTTTACACTAAAATATACTATAAAAACATAAAATCCTATCAAAACACAAAATCTAAAGCAAGTAATTTTCTTATTTACATGTTATACAAATCACATTACAATATTTAACTTGAATCTTTGCTTGAATTCACCTAAAACATAACCAACTGTAATATTTTCATATGGATGTAAACAAAATTGTTTCTTGGCTATCTGTTTTGGTAGAAACAAAATGTAAACTTGAAAACGTTCTGATGATGAATACAGAGTTCAGCATAAACTCTGAAATTTATAAAGCCTAGTGGACGAAGGACTTTCACGGGATATCATCCAAACCAGCAAAAGGCACATCTAGAGGATAAGAGCTTTAAATCGATAACCATATGCTTATAAAAATAAATATTCATTGGTCGATTTGCTGCACACAAAAATCCAAAAAATCTTTTAATAACAAGAATAGACTAGAGCTCACCCCGACGCACACACGTTAGTGTTCTCCATAAATTAAAAACCAGTTCCATGTAGCTGGAACATGGATATGAATTGTCTAGCTCACTCTCAATCAATGGTGTAACTAAGGCTTTGAGGTGTAACACAGGATGACATAAGTATTGTTATCATCCGATTAGATGCAATCCAATAACACTACTTCACTTTCAAGACTCTAAATCTACCTAAGTGGCCATTCATTTCATTACTTGCCCAGTCTTATCTGCGCGGAGAGCTTTTGGTCTCTGGTTTGGTTAAGGTCCATATCCATCCATTTTATGGTAGGCATGTTGGTGGCTTTACACAAAAATATTTTTTGAAAACGAATTACAATTTGATTAATATATTTTATTGTTCTGTATTTAAATAATGAGAATTCTTACTTGTCACACATTTTTATTTTATTCCTTAAAGGGACGGAAGGACACCTAAGTGGTTTATTTTTATTTCATAAAAGTAACTACAAAGCACCCTGCAATAATTATTAAACAATTATGTTAAATTACAAATGCACTGTATCCTAAAAAGAATGGATCAAATCTACAGCTTGATATACTTGTAGCGAAGGGTAGAATGAGGCCAGTTTACTTTTGATCCATTCTTTTTGGGACACCCGGTATTACTATCTCTAATCATTATTATTAATATTTATCAAAAGGTTTCAGAATCGAATATAAGTACACACGATGTCTATATTAATAAATTAATGGTTAAGCAACAGATATTCTTTAAATTGAAAATCTTAAATTCTAAAGTCAGTCTGCCAAAACCAGCAAATCAATGATTGCTAATTACAGGCTAATCGCTCTCCTGATTGAAGGAAATCCGTTTCCCATTACATTATAATTGTGGTCAGTTACAAGATTTTTGAAAGTTACAGTTAAAAGTGGTAAACGGGAAATGGAGTCGATAGTATTTAATAATTACACCGTATAATTAATCGTTTATTCTACTTGCGCTGGTCTAAATGTCGTATCGCGATTCTTGAACCCTAAAGACCCGAGCTCAATTCCTGACAATCGCCATTGGCATTACCACTCTATGTTTACAGCTATGTGACAATGCAATGCCTCAGTAACACTATTGGATTCGTTCATTGACAAAACCAACAAAGATGAACACCCAAAAAAGTCAAGAATGCCAAGTAAAAGGGGAGCTTATTCTGTGTAACAACTGTAAATAGTTTAATAAAACAAAAAGATAAAGTAGAACTTTAACGCTTTTATTAGGAGCTTATTATTTCCATGTGATATCATAATTAAAAAAAAATGCAGCTGGCTTTATCTGGCAACTTCTATTTGTACTTCCTACGTCAATGTCCTATTTTAAGATAAGAAATATAGAATTAGGTGAACATAGAATCTCATGTTCAGTACCCACAGTATTTGCTTTGAGTCTCTCCTGGATTTAAGTGATAAACGTAGTCATGAACACCTCCTAACCAAAACCTAATCTAGGGTAGAACTTATTAGAAACTTTACCACTGATGTAGAAAGTTTCCTTTGGTCACTTGGCCTGATATTAGCTCTCCCTCCAATATCCTCCCTACAACCCTTCTATAATTGACCAGTGGTCAGTGATTAGAGCTGGGGAAGCCCCCTTGGCCAGTAAGTAGTGGCATGAAAACATTAACAAAACTGGACTTGGAGAACAAAAAAATGACAACAATTTTAATTCGAAATAAAAGTTTGAGAGCTTTGTATTTTGCAATAAAAATATTTATTTGTTCAAATGCACCTATGACAATATTGTACATACGAGTATGTAGATTTCGGTAAAATATAAAGAGATAATACGCAAATACTAAAGTAAGAAGTTGAATGAGTTATTTATTTTAATTACAATGCATACACAATTAATTAATTATCATTTCTATTCAAAACCAATAGGTCTTAGGCTGTGCTAACTGGCTTATTTGCACTAACAACTTTCTTTACTCTTTGTACTAAATACATCATGTTATTTCAAACAATGGTCTAATGTTCTTAATTGCTTTTTCATTAATATTTTAAAGTTAATTGCCGGTTTAATAGTTATATCATCTCATGCTTAGATAGTAACTTTAAAGTAATAATTATTTTCATTCTTAAAAAAATCAAGTTGTCCAATAAAATGTAGAGTAAATATAATTTGAAGTCCACAGTTACAAGGTGAAAACACGTTATTTAAGAACATGGCTTTCGTAGACATTTACAAAGTTGAGATCAATACACAATACTAGAGTCAACCATTTCCTTGCCTTACAAAGCCAAATTCCGAACCCCTGTACCTTTCACCCTCACCTGCCTATCTTCATTACACGCACATTATGGGATGTCCAGCACCACCCCATTACCCCCTCTGACCCTCGTGTCCCTTCTGTGGACAAGGGCTGAAAACATTTTACAAAAAAATTGTATTTCACCGAAGCTTTTATTTTTTAACAGCATCATAATAGAATTAGATGTTTTCCCTTTTACAGGTTGAATACACATCAGCTTAATCCATCCAACAAGATGCTTCGCCAAGAAATAAATAGACTTTGCTGTCACGGGTAGTAATAAATAGACAAATGTCTATTTATTACTCTGTTTGCATAGGTAGGTTTACAAAAATATTATTAAGTTTTAATGGGAGAAAGTTCCTTAGTTATTTTTAGAGGGCTTTGTTGTGAATTGTTCGATGATTTTTTTGGCAAACATGTTAACTTTTTGGAGGAATTAAAAACAGGAGTTGATGCATATCTTGGCAAGTCATCATTACATCAGGAGAACTTACTGACCTTGAAAGGACTTCATTCGATTGGATACAATGGGAGTCACCAGAAAGACGTAATTAAACGATTAATAATGAAATATAATTGCAAACCCTCTTTCCATAGTACAGTAACATAATAGATCTTCGATTATTATTATTCAATAATTTGTGTGATTTGTAAAAAAAGATTATGTAGCTATGTATGAAAAGAGAGAAATTAAACATTAAAAGTTATTCAGAAAAGTATATTAACTGGGACAAAACATGATACTGTGCCGTCAAGTTATTCGTATATTTTAAATTATAAATGGTTCGTATATTTGATTTTAAAGAGAACGAAATGAACGATAAATTATTTTATCGCACAGTATTGTAGCATGACTCGTTTTCTTAGTACGCGTAATTATTAAGGTGTTCTACCATTATAATAATGTCATTGAAATGTGTTAAATAATGTAAATCTGAGATAAATAAAAAAAATCATCTGTTTTTTTAGAATTTAGCTTACGACACCATAATAACAACATAATTATGTTTCCAAGAAGAAACTACATGTATCACCCTAATTGTTTATATAACTGTACATAAGGCATTGTAAATCCATACAAATCCCTATCGCAATTAATTACGTGGTTGATGGAATACATTTTAAACTTACTCTCACCCATACGCCAAATTCATCATCCCCTCCTGGAACACTGAACATCGCTAGACTCCGTGACAAAGTAGGTTCGACCACAAAGAAGTCACAACATGAGTTATTCACTCTGTAACTTTATATTCCTGCGTCGCCGTCTTGTAGGATGTTATAGGTTCCCGAGGGACTCGGGGGAGGAAAATTCAATTCCGGGATAGGTACAGCGTTTTCTCCACTCGTACTTCAAGGTTAATGAGCTGGCAGGATGAGTTTTAC